GCCAGTCCTCGGAGTCACTGGTCCTACAGTTAGTGAACTTCTTCACCGGCGGACTACTGTTCGCATTCCTCGTCCTAAGACTTTTGCCACTCACTTATCATCAGTTCTATAGTGTCTATAGTATTCACAATCATAATAATAGTAATAATCATTTGATTGACAATCCTGTTGTCAGTGAAGACAATATACTAGTGATGACCACCACAGAGGAGCCCACACCACAGCCCCAACCCATCAAATTGGGTTTGCCTTATGTCGAGCTAATAGTCACCGGGTTCTTTTTTGTTGTCTATTTTATTGAACAACTCATTCAGGTATTTATTTATGTACCAGTATTTTATATAAAACTTTTATATAGATTTTCATTTAATCATAACATAAAATTATTTCAATTATACCGGTATATTCTGATACAGTATTATACAATCATATAATTAAAGTTTAGATATTATGTATACCATTAATTACAGTATTAACTACGATATGAATAATGAATAAATATTTTAAACTATAGAATCTATAGTATAGATACAAGAAAGTTAATAAGTAATTTACATGAATGATTAAATAAAATAATTTGGCAATAAACAGATAAGCTAACCTAAAAGTTTCCTAACGTTACAAGATAACATGTACAGTATTTTAATGAGAGAACAAAAAATATTATAATAATGTTTAAAATGCCATTAACGTAATGAGTAATCTAATGTTATTTCGGTGATAATGATACAATATTTCTGAATGCTATGAATGAAGGGAAATATTGCATAACCTTAGTATACTAGAGTGCATTTGAATAATTTGTATGATTGGGTTCACAATACATTGACTATTTTGCACTTAAAATAGTATTTTGAGTACTTTCACATTACATTCATTGATTGAAACAATTATTATATTTCTATATATTTTAATTAACTCACAAAATCAAAGTCATTGACCGGATGGGACGGGTGGTACACCAAAAGCTCTTTAGTGCACTTACCGGCACTAAACCCGAGGAATGCCTCATCGGATAAGAAAGAGGACACCAAGAGATCATCGGAAGGCACTGACACGGAGTGCAGCGAACCATCACTTGTGGCCTGTTATCGGAAAAAACTGGAGGACGAGATTATCACCACAACTGCTCAACATTTAAATGCTAGGGAAGGCACGGCTAGTACTTCCAATGGACAGCCCAAACAACATAAGCCTGACTGTCCACTCGCCTCATCAGAAAATAATACAATTAACCGCAGACTGAAGATCCCGTGCCGACCCTCCCATCCCTCGTCTATTATAATAGTGTTGCCGACCACTGAAGCCAATGATGTGTCCACGGCGTGGATACAGATTAAGACAGGGATTGGGATCATAGGCAGCGTTACTGTCCATCAACTCACTAATGGTGTGACACTGGGCCTACTCGTCCATCCCTGGTGTTGGTTAGGCTTATCCGTCGTATTGTTTCACTCAATACTCACATCAGTTATGATTACATCGAAACTTATAAAACACTGTTTCGATNTTTCACTCAATACTCACATCAGTTATGATTACATCGAAACTTATAAAACACTGTTTCGATGCAAATATCATATTTTTATGTCAACTCTTATTTTCCTCATTAACTCCTTTGGGTTTGAATTGATTTTGAGTTTTTATGTCATTATCAGGAATTTAATGATTTGTTTGTTTTTAGGAATAATAATCGCAAGTGTTTTAAAGATTTCAAGTTTTAATGAATTATTATTACTGGGATTGTCATCGGGAGCGACATTTCATTTGGTTTTCCTAACACTATTGCAAAGCGAACGGTGCACTCGACTGGCAGGCCTTATACAATACCTGGCTATGTATACCGGGTTTACACTCGTCCTATGTTTTGTACTTATAATTGGAAATAGCAACTAATTTATATAATCTTAATTAATCAATTATAGCATGTACATATTTTTCTAAAAGTGATTCGTTTAAAAATTAATTTACATTTTTGAAAACTCAATAATTTGTATATTTATCTTGTTCATAAATAGATTAAATATTTGGAATTATACCAATTCAGCTATATTTAAAAATTTATTAATATATTACAATTAAAAATAAATTAATCTATCTTTAATAACTTATTTAAGTAATCATCTGATAAATTGCTCAAATTGTATATTAACATAGACAGACATAAATTGAATATATTAAAACTCATCTTTGTAATGATCCTTTAAATGAATTTGGTTAAATAAATTTACCTAAAGTTAATAATTAGAAAAATTAATTAACATTACATTGATATTTAAGCTATTTTGGTCTAAAACTTATAACTTACCGGTACTTGAAAAACATCCGCATTTTTGAGGTAACGTTTGACAGCCAATAGGCTTGTGTATAGAGTGGGCGCCCACTTCCCAAAATGGGTAAACTGTCTAAGATTCTCACCAAATAAGCCTATTTTGATGAGCCAACCCGGCTTTCCCTCTGCCGGTGCCATCCCACTGACCGCCTGTTCCACCTGTTCGATGGACCAGACCCTCCAAAGGGGTCGGTTTGCTCTCAGATCTGTGATCTCTTTTAGTATTTCTCTAAATTTAGGCAAAACCTCGTCTACAAACTCACTAATGGATGGGCCCTCGAGATCCCGGAGCGCATGCAGTTGTGGCACAGAATCTGACTCAAGTGTCTGTAATGTGGACACAATTCTTAGGCCATAGTAATAATAATCGCGAGCCATTTGGTGAAAGTTTTTCAGATTTTCTTTAAATGTTGGTTTGTTTTGAAAGGACAGGTAGTCGTCGATATCTTTGCTACATTTCTTCTTACCAGTTGAGACATCGCTTATGTTTTCAAACTTTTTCACCGAATCTGGGCTAACACTCCAGATATGATTGTTATACAAATCAATGTCACGTTTCCATGTAATCCAATCGTCTCTAGTTTGCAAATCTTTTGGTGGTTTTGGCATATTTTTGTGAATATTTTTCATTTCACTTTTTGTTAACTCACATACACTGGTGATAATTTGATAGGAGACTAAAATAAAGCAAACTAACAATTTATTCATTGTTTAAAGTTTAGAGTTTAGAGTTACAAAAATGAAATGTTTTAAAGAATCATGTTTTTAAAAAAAACATTTTTACAGATTTCTTTTAACGACATTTCAGTAACATAATTGAATTAATCAAATCATTTATAATTAATGTACATTGACACATGTACAGTACCAGTGCCTCAGATATTCTCTACAATATTCATGTCATGATTTACTATAATAGACATGTTTTTAATTAATTAAATATATAACGAGCCAAAATATAAAAACTATATTTTTGTATTATTTTTATATAATCTAGTTTACTAGTAAAATACAGTCCAATTTTGCGTTCATCTCATTGTTATATTATTTTAATAACTAACTTATATTTATATAAAGATTTATATAAATATATAAAACACATGTTTTGATGAACTAAATCAAATAAAATACTAAATCAAACAATTTTATTATCTGTTATTAGATTTATTTCATTACATTTTAGGTATCAGAGTAGTAAACCATTTCAATTACAGTACATGTATTAAATTCTTGCTAATTAAAAATATGACAAACAAAACTTTTATTTAATAAATACAATAACAACTAAAATAACAGACAATTTGAATAATACTAATAGATAAAATTTTGATTAAAACTAAATTGATTGATGTATTGCATAAGGTATCCACAAATCTAGTCACGAATTATATCAGGCTTTTTGGGAGGTGTAGAAGATTGTGGAGGGGGTGGAGGTGTGGAGGCTTGTGGAGGGGATGGAGGTATAGAGGCTTGTGGAGGGGGTGGAAGGTGTGGACGAACTACAGGGTGTAGAACTGGTTGTGGGGGCGCTTTGGTTATGACAGTGTGTGTCGGGGGCTGAACCATATGGACACTGGTCTCGGTTTTGGTGTCAAAAACTTTGAGCAAAACGATGACAATAACTACGATACAAATACACGGCAAACAAAACACACAAAACAAGACACCGAAGACCACAGCCATTACCGTCCCAAATATGAAACCCGCCTGAATATGGCTCATATTTGTGGGATAGACATAATCCATGTCCGACACGCCTGAAACGCTGTGGGAACTGTACCAACAATTTATCAGTAAAATTATTTCAGTATTCAATCAATTATTTGATACCATAAAGTCATGAAATAATAGCTAATAAAAGCCACCAAAACAGTCCTTTTGCTGAATATCCAACGGATACTAATTCTCTGAATCTGATCCATGTCTTGGTTTTAGTAAATAAATGGCATAAATATAAATTTCAAATGAGATATGGTTTAAAATAATTTTAATAAAATTTGAATTAAACGTTTGTTTAATTCTCGTACAATTCAAATGTATTGTTTTGTTATTTACTAATTTATAGCTACATTATGACCACTTATAAGACATTTGCATGTACTGCCCCATATCACTATAGAAAATAATTTTATAATTACAATTGTATCAATTTTTTTGGTTAATAAAAGTTACACAATATTATAAAATATATTTAATTTTGATTGTGAAACTAAAATTGTAAATCACACAAATATAAAGTATAGACGAGAATTCGGTATATTTTATTTTCAATGCCATAATAGACAGAATTCATATTAAATAATATTGACAACAATTTTAATACTAGAATACAATCAATAAATTGATGAATGAATGCAAAAATAACTCTTTGGCCGCAACTATGAGGTCATAACAGTTACGTTACGCGTATGACATGAGTGGTCTGACCAGGGGGTGGATGGGGTTGAGGGGCGTTAGGGTTAATCACATGCACTGTCGTCTCATTTGGTTTGAGGATATTTTCACCGAATTGTAGAAACATTCACACAATGAATGCAATACATCCACAACATAGGGCTAACACGAGGATAGCGCCCAACAGTTGCAGTATAACCATAGCGATGATCCACCAAATGCTACTCTCTATGATCGGTGGAATAGTGTGTGAAGTGTCCCAATTTAGTGAATGACCCTGACCAAACTGACCCTCTGGTGCTTTAGTGACGGGTCCTCCACTCACACACACCACTGATCAACTGTTTGGCAAAATGTTGATTATTATGACATTTGTTCATCAATTCAGTTATAAATACCCAAAAGTCATGACATAAAAGCCAATCATAGAGATTAACAAATTGTTTGGATTCAGCATTGGATTAATACTGGTTTTGTGAATCTGATCCAAGTATTGGTTATCTTTGATATAACTCTGAGTCAAACGAAACTAAAAATACTTTTTGATTTGAATGTTGAAAATAAGCTATAAGTTTAAGATTTAATTGAGTTGAAATTCTCGTGAAATGCAAGTATAGTATACCTAATTGTAAGCATCAATTTGCCATCAAATCTGATTACCGGTATTAGTTTATACTATAAACTTATAGTTGAAAGACATCGAAATGTATGATAGTTTTAAGAATTTTATTATTGTCTATAAATCTGTCTTTTACATTTGATAATATTGTATTTGTATTTGTATTTGTATTGTAAATCTTTTTAAAACTTTAATTTCAATTTAAATCCAATGTTTGAGTGAATGGTTGTGTGAGCTCTCCCTCATAGACATACCTACCGGAGCCCACATTTGTGTGAAGGGGTTGCTTCAGGAATGATAAATCAATGAATGCTTTAGTATTAACCGGAATGTCGATCTGTTATTAAATATAAAATATTTACAAAAATAATAAAAATGTTAATAAAATGGAAATTACTGTTAAAGTAATGTTCGCGCCGTTAGTCTCCCAACTCATCCCAATTAAGCCATTGATAGACTGATACCGAGCCGTCATTTTATGGAGATTACCGCCGGGTTTCGGAGCGATTACTATACTCTTGAATCCCACGCCTTCCTCGTGAGTATCAATACCGGCCACCGATTGGAAGAGCCATCGACCGACTGATCCCAAGGAGTAGTGATTGAATGAATTCATAACCGGGTCTTGAAATCCCTTTTCTTGAGTCCATCCGTCCCAACGCTCCCATATAGTGGTCGCGTTGTATTTAATACTATATCCCCACGAGGGGTATGTATCCTGTAGTAGCAAACGGTAGGCCACATCCGAGTGACCCAAACGGCTCAGTGTTGGACACAAATAGCCCACACCTGACATACAATTATACAACAATTTTTACATAATTTATGGTAAATTCAATTATTTTAAATTTAAATGATAACTAAAATATACTGACCAATAAATCCGGTGGTCAGGTGCCAGTCGTGGGCCTTAATATTGTCCACTAAATGGTTGGCCGCCAATGGGATGAGGTTTTGTGGCAAGAGTTCAAAGGCCACGGCTATGACATACACCGTCTGAGTGTTGCCTTTGATTGTGGCGTCAGTTGTGTTG